CAAGAATATGAGCTAAATGTTCAATATCCTCCTAGATGAACAGGTTGGACTCAATGCCTTGAAGTGGACTATCATCAATGTGACGTTGAAAAGAAGACCAATCTGCTTCATGAAAGTTCAAGGACGTTTTAGTTGAATGTGATTGTGTTAAGAGTGACAATAAAGTGGAGATTGATAGGTGGAGGATTACCGCCAATTGGTGTTAGAACTTAAATCCTAAGCAGAGGTACAATATTAGGAAAGGTAAGGGCTGTGCCTAGTGTTGTATTTGATTCATGGCGCATATGACATGCAAGCTGCAGAAGAAAACGATCCATGCACTCCAAAATGGTGTTAAACTGTTGAAGTTCAGAAGAGAATTAGCTGTGGGTGTTGATATCAGCCACGATAATGCAACTTTTGGAGCTCTGATCAATAAAAGTGAAGAAGATAAAAAACAATTTTTCTGTTTCTCTGATACATATTGTAGCAATTGTGACTATACTGGATGAAGAATATAGAGTAATGATGAAGTATTCAGTGAAGTTGTAGTGGTACTAGTTGTAGATCTAAACAGGTAATGAAGTCTTAGAACCAGTCATCACTCCTTCCCAACCTATTCCTCGTGGATATGCACTCCAGTGTAAATTGTATCCAGTCAACAGTGTAAACAACATTGGCTTAAGAAAGGTTTCATTCAATAATACACAATTTATAGATTTGTCAAGCAATACTGGCCCCAACAAAGGTTAATTGGTTTTAGCAGAACGAATATTAACAAAAAGAAAAATCAACAATCTGTTTCTAGCTGATCTGACCATCCAGGTGTCAACAATGGTCGAAAGTAAAAATGAGTGTATAAACCAGAATAGGTAACCTGCATATCAATTTTGGAAACAGAGTTATTAGCAAAACGAATTTTATCGAGTACAAAAGCATGTTGATGGGGATGAATATCGTGCAATGTGATGGCTATAAAACGTAGATCTTCTACAGTTAGAAGTGGAGAGAGAGAGAGAGTTGTTGCTAGGAGATACAGTGTCAGACGTGCCTATAGGTGCTATTGTGGAAGGATCATATGGCTTGGAAGTTGACTTGACTTTACATTAATAAGAATAAATAGGCTATTCCGGTGGCAGGAGTGGTATCCAGCTTATTTCACACGCGAGTTTAGTGGGGGGTCGACAATATGAACAAATTGATTTATTGGTGATTTGACTTTAGAATGACATTTATAGGTAAGGAAACAGCCACAGCACAGTGGTGGAGGTGGGAGGTTTCTCAATGCCGTTGCCAGAATAAGTATGCGCCATGGCTAAGAAGGTGACCTACAACACCACTACTCTTAATAATAATCCGTATCATGTATGTTTGGCCATTGATATATGAACTGATATATCATCCTCTGATAATTCAATTATGATATAATTTTTAGTCACTGAAGGGTCCACGCTACGGATTACACAAGATAACGTAGACATACGACAAGTTGAGGATGGTTGTTTGGACTAAGGTACACCAAGCAAGTATTGCCCATCTTATTGTAGGCAGTGTCAAAAATTGTAGCATTGGAAGTTTTGCCAGTTATGTCGTTACGTGTAGTGATGATCTGTTGGATATACGCATGCATGCAGACAATGTCTGGAGATATTCAAAAATAAAGATCGAGCTGCATAGTATTCGACACCCATATTGAAGAGTAAGAAGCAAAAAAATATTTTATATTGGTTCAGTATTCATAGATTGTGAGTTTCAACCTTTACAAGGAAGACCAGCGACCGGAGACAAAGCCTTGATACTCATTCTGATGCTGAGAGGACGGGATGTAACTTCATCATAAGAAGGACTGTGGACAGTAGTTATGACAAGAACATCAGTAGGTGCATAATGACAGTGAATGACAAGTAGAATGGTCACAGGAGTAGTGTTGTCTTCTGGTGAGGAAGAGTTTTTTAATCAAATTCTTGCCTTGTGTGAGGTTTCATTCTCACGTGATGGGTTGGAGACCCAATGCAGTCAACCAGTCTCTATTGATCTACCACCAAGAACAGTTCACGGTGCATCCCAATAATATCACAAAACAATGAAACGCATAGTTTTAAATGAAAAGTGTAGGTTGATTAATAAGAACGAATTAATGAATTAACGACTAAAGAAACCGAGAGAAGGAAAAGTAATCTTACCAAAACTCCAAATAATCACGTTATGTAACTTAGAATCCATTCACATCGATCCAAAAAACTCTTCTCTTCCTCCTCTTCGTCCAAACCCCAGAAATATTTCAAACTATTTTTAATTTTACAACAATATTCATTTATTACACGGTTCGTATTCCTGATTATATTTTCCAAAATCTAAAACGCTTTATTCCTTTCAGGTTAAAAAAAATAAATGAATGTTGAAATTATTATGTTATTTTAATGAAGAAAATGGTAATAAATTATTCATATAAAGGTATTACGAGCATGTTAAGGAAGAAAGGGCATTTCCTTTTCTTATAGACGAACCGTATGAATATAGAATAAAAACACGTACGCCAATAGTGTTAAAGAATATGGGCTTCATTTCTCAACATTACTCCAGTTAAGTGTAATGCATTTCCCCCATCATTCTTGAGCTTCATCAAACTGTTTTGGTTTAGAATCTAAATGCGTACAGCTGATTTAAGCGCATCATATGTCTGAAATAACTGTCTGCATAGCCCTTGAGAGGAACAAACAGGTATAAGTCATGAAGGTGCTAAGTCAATAAACTCTGCGGGACAGAGAAGGATTCTTCATTGGAGCTTTTCAATTAAGAGCAATGTGATGAGGTCTGGTATTATCATGTGACAATCAATCTTCCTTTTTTTCCTTAAAAGCAGGGTTCACAAACCACGAGAAAGTACTGTCAGTATCATAGAGTAATGTATCTGTACAGTTTTTTTCCACACCCTTGATTATAGTACGGTATTTAAAACCAGTAATTAAACTGTTTAGATGAATAGAAACTTCAATGTTTTCATATCAGTACATATCTGAACCAATCTATTTGCAGTTACGGTCTAAACGCGAAAACATGGTGAAGCATTAGAAACCTATACGCCTAATATTTTTATTATTTTGTATTAAAAAGTTTAGGCCTATTGGTTTTTAATGCTTTGCCAGGTTTCGAAATTTAAGCCATTATTTGTAAAGTATTACTTAAATAGCGTTTCAGAGAACATTTTGTCTCTTAGCGTCTAACCCAACTGACGAGTTCTGGGATTAAACGAAAGGCTTTTTGGGCAGTGACCTGTGAGAAAGAGAAGATAGATCTTATATGCTATTTGTACACGTATACAATGGATAAATTAATAGAAACTAACATAAAATATCCGCGCTCTACTTCGGAGTCCAAAGGCCACCTCATGGGTCAGAGAGACCACAATGTGTCGATCAAACTCCTTCATTATCTGTAATTACTTCTATAGCTACACCTAGGGGAAGGTCCCTTCCCTCTAAAAACCCGTTGGGATATTTGACCGCGGTGTGGCAAGTTTGGTCCCGTTAACTTGTGAATTGGAGTACGAGTATGGTTTCAAACATGATGCCCCCAGGATCCCGAGAGGGACCAGAAACACAAACTCTGCTGCTAATTTCGGATTTAGCGACCATGAAAACTTATTCGCAGACCCCTTTCATGACATAGTGACTTTTCAGGGGTGTTAAAGTCTTTCCCCTCTTAATAAGAGGTTATATAATATAGATAAGGACACACTCCCGCCTGCTAAGCGTGGTTCTACTAGCTACAGAAACGTGGAAGGAGTTAACTGGACATAGATTCATACATCCTAAACTACAAGCTCAATTAACATAGGATGTGAGAAAAAGAACATCTGGACTTAACGTCATATTTATCATACATATTGTTAGTAGAAAAATATATACGTTAAAATTGCACAATTTTTTTAGCAAAAATATTTAAGACTAGACTAATGAGCTTATTAAACAATTTTAAAACCCTTTCGACCTCCTACTTTTGAAACATGCTCATCAATTCCAAAAGAACATATGAACTGCAAAGAAGCTTCATAATATTTTCAATTAAGGCCTCAAATAAATAATATTTTTCTTAACATAACGCATATTCTTTTAGATTCCATATAACTGGCAAACAAAAACAACAACAACAACAAAAAAAAACAGCTAATGTCTAACAAGTATAAAATATTGTCGTAATTCTTTGGCTATAATGACTTTTATTTTTAGATTTATTCTAAAACTTATTTCCTCATCTTCTAAGGAAAATATGTCTCAGTTTATTTAAAGTGTATTTGTTTGGTATGTCTTTTAAATAATAGCTCTTAAGGTTTTACAGTTTCACCATTAATTAGCACACGTTACACCCATTCCTCAAAAATGGAGGTCAGGGTTATTTACATCGTGTGTAATTACTGAAGAAGGAGGTCAGGATTATTTACATTGTGTGTAACTACTGGAGAAGGAGGTCAGGATTATTTATATTGTGTTTAATTACCGAAAATGGAGATAAGGATTATTTGCATTGTGTGTAATTACTGAAGATGAAGATCGGGATCATTTACACTGTTTACGTAATGAAAATAGAGGTCGGGATCGTTTATTTTATCTAATGTACCAGTTGGATATCGCATGCACAATAGTGTTAACTTACCGTCTGTAAATCGCAAACTCTTAAATAGAGTCCATTTTATGACTTCTGAAACTTTCCTTTCAAACATAACCGAAGAAACATAAATCGCCATCTGGCGGCAGATATTTCTATTAAATAGAAGTTTTGTTTTCTTTAAAATTAAGGTTTAGAAAGCGAACTTGCTTAGCACTGAGTGTATTAATACTTGAGTAATATAAACATAAACTTGATGAAAGTATTTTAAGACTGGTAAGCGTTTCTTATAACAAAAAGTATTTCAAGAGCGAAATCTTTTTTATGTGTGTAATTGAACTACTTAAAATTATTCAATTAAAAAAAATAAAAAGCAAGATATGCAATAAATAGATTTTGTTTTACCAAATTATTACCTTTGGCAGTGGAATATAACCATATGATCAATATCAAGGCTTGATGTTCCGGGATTTAGGAGGTATGGGACCTAGTGGTGCCTAGAAAATTTAAGTTTTGATGTTAATTCATCAAAGTAGAAGAAATACAGCTACTCCATAAACACGATGGAAATATTTGTAAAATAAATAAGTTAATTCATGATGGATTTCTAAGCAATAGTCGTGAAACCCATATTAACTTATTCTGTAAACTTAAACTAGATATAAGAGGCTATCGTGTATTAAAAGGAATAAAAAAGCGTCATATTTGAATTATTATTTTTGTAGAATCCTTTTGTTCTGCACTAGTTATTTTCTACACAAAACATACAATGAAGTGTTCACATAAACGATTCTTATGAAGAGTTGTTAAAAGTTAACATTCCAATATTTATAAGATACAGGCTAAGAAAATAAAATGAAACCTTAAAAAAATGTTCAACATAGCACAGTGATTAAATAAGCACATTCGTGCTAAATTTGGTCACATACAAATTTATGTCTACCACATGAAAAATGTCATATGTAACTGAGGCATTCAATATTATTTTGACGCAATAAAATAGTCATATTCATTAGGTAATATAATGTTATTGTGAATGTCTTTTAACACACAATGCTAACTTATATTTCGCATAATGCTAACAAATAAAACAACTGTAGATCTATTTCAGAACAATGCGATATCATATCGTAGTTCTCTTGCATGATTAATCTTTATTCGACATTTTCCATCTTCTGGTTTCATAGCAATGAATTTACGATTGGTGTCTGAAGTCTCGCTCAGATCGTATCATTAAACACAGTATATTAAAGAAAATCAATATATGGCAAGCGCAAATTATTAGGCTTGCTTCTGTAAGCTATAATTAAATACAATTAGACGTATAATTTGTACTGATTATTTAAGGTGTACTAATTACCTTGAATAATTAAATCCTAACAAAGACAAATATCACAACCAGTACAGTGGTATCATATGTTATAATTTGGTATAATTACATGGTAATCTAATCAGTAACACTAAAGATCTTCGCTACATCACCTCGAATTTTCTGGCACTACTTAATACAAGCTTTTTATATTGCACTCTACTATAATGTTACACAACAGCACAATGAAAAAAAAAGCCCTATATTAAATTAGCTTTTAGCTTTGAGTGTATGCATGTCCAAATAGCTCCCCTTTACAGTTCTGGAGCAAGCAAGACCAAACTTGGCAGGTGAGCTCGGGGTGGCCTTGAGGTCTTGTAAGGTTAAGCAGGCATAATGGGGCATAAAAGTAGAGTAGATTTGTATAGTCACTGGGATTTAATCTGACATCATATTTTGTCTTCCTGCCCCTCCCATCCCTCCGGATCACTGGGGCTCCATGTTTAAAACTGTGTTCATATCCCACTCACAAGCTAGCGGGACCAAACTTGGCTTTTTTGTCTGGTACGAGCCCCCGGGCTACTTAGGGTAATTGTAGAACTATAATGGATAATGAAAGAGATTGGCCAGCACAATGGGATCTCTATGAATCATAAGGCGTCCTTTCAATCTCACAGAAGAGAACGGGTACTTTATGTCAGTTGATATTAAATGGTATAGTCTATACAAACATATATATTCATAAATTTAGTAGAAGGCTATTGCTAAATATTGATATGATTTATTATAAAAAGATGCACAGTCATACAAAACATCAATTGAACTTACGACGTTAGGCAGTGTCCAGCCACACCCAGGTAGAGGTAATCCATCTGGTCCAAGAGGACAAGGAGCATCGAGACCAGGCACACCCTAGAAATAGAAATAACTGGGATCTGGTTGTGAGTTACTTTTAATTTAATAGGTTTACAGATGAAATCTTGAAACTACTAGAAATAGAAATAACTGGAATCTGGTTGTGAGTTACTTTTAATTTAATAGGTTTACAGATGAAATCTTGAAACTACTAGAAATAGAAATAAATGAGATCTGGTTGTGAGTTAATCTTAATTTAACAGGTTTACACATGGAATCTTTAAACTACAATATTTGTAAGAATTAATAGGGGTTTATCGAAATGAGAATTTAAATGTTGTGTAATTCACTGATATTTTTTTGTACTTGTGTTACTTTGAAGTGCCGAAGTCACTATATAATTGCTGTTTCATTAAAGCGAAAACGTAACACTATAAACATTTAAGTGCTTCTCAATAATTTATAAGGCAAAGTCGTATTTGCTAGATAGTGTAAATTATTACGAGATATGTGAAATATTAATTCTTCTTAATTTCAACGACTTCATACTCTTAATACACAAAATATTCATACACCCATAATCATTGCTTAACTTTGTACTTCCATACTACCATATTCATGAACAAAATTATTTTAAACTGATTTGTCCAATAAGAATTAGGCTTCTTATCGTTAAATTCTATTTACAGACTACGTGTTGTGTTTTTTCTACAAATTAGATATTGATTCAACCTAGAATATCTTAATCCATTATGAAGAACTTAGTAATAGTATTACTGATTCAGTATGTAGATAATACTCAACTAAATAATATTATTACTGATTCCGTATGTAAATAATCCTGAATTTAATAATATCATTACCGATTCAGTATGTAGCTAATCCTCAACTTAATAATATTACTATCGATTCAGTATGTAGATAATACTCAACTAAATAACATTATTACCGATTCAGTACGTAAATAATCCTGAATTTAATAATATCATTACCGATTCAGTATGTAGATAATACTCAACTAAATAACATTATTACCGATTCAGTATGTAAATAATCCTGAATTTAATAATATCATTACCGATTCAGTACGTAGATAATCCTCAACTTAATAATATCATTACCGATTCAGCTATGTAGATAATACTCAACTAAATAACATTATTACCAATTCAGTACGTAGATAGTCCTCAACTGAATAATATCATTATCGATTCAGTACGTAGATAATCCTCAACTTAATAATATTATTATCGATTCAGTGTGTAGATAATCCTCAACGTAATAATATTATTACTGATTCAGTGTGTAGATAATACTCAACTAAATAATATTATTACCGATTCAGTACGTAGATAATCCTCAACTAAATAACATTATGAAGATTAGCTACATACTGAATCGGTAATGATATTATTAAATTCAGGATTATTTACGTACTGAATCGGTAGGCTAATATCATTGGATATTTCCTATTCCTGAGTCATTTTATACGTATATTGTATAATCAGTTCAACATACAAATGAATTATATTAATTTCGTACGAAATGTGAAAGCCATTTTTTTTTATCCATGAAAGTTTGATATAAAATATAATCACTTGAGATGTAATATAAACGTACTGTGTGACATCATGCCAAGTGTTATAACAACTCTAAAATACTTATTCTTGTGTATCTTGTGTAGAATAAAAAAAAATTTATAAAGAACGAAAATTGTATTTTTTTAAATAACCCTTAATTTCAAAACAATTTCGATGTGAATAAATATTTTACTGTTTTATAAATGTCTTACCTGATCTCCCTTGTCTCCTTTGTCACCCTTCTTTCCTCGTCTACCCATCCCACCCTAATACATTCAGAGCGTACAAAGATATATATTAGTTTTAACACAATATTTCTCATTATAATTAATTAAATAATGCAAGCAATAAATATTTTTTATTTGTCTATCTTACCAGTGTTAAAGTAAAAGCTTTTTGCATTAAAATACTGGATCCTATTAATCTTTATAATGTGTGGCCATTACAAAATATTTAATATTATCTCTGTATATCTTCCAGTTTCAATTTTTTAGTACTATTCATCAATGAATCTTGAAAGCTATGCGCTTCAGAAATGCTGATCAAGTAAAATCTGAAAAAATCATATAAGTGGTTATTGTAGTGGTTATTGCTGATCAAGTAAAATTTGAAAAGGCCATATAAGTGGTTATTGTAAGTATCTTAAAGTAATTCTCAAATACAATGAAAGACTTCATGTACTTACTAAGTAGCTTAAACCCAAGATTAATACGGAAAATTTTTTGAGGTTCCGTTCAATATAAAAGCTCTAATTTAAGAAAGATGTTTAAATTGATATATTATTACACGGCTACATGACAACGTAAGACGGTATTAATATTAAAAATACAGCGTGACCAACTAACATGACAGGTTAAAACAGAAGGACATTACACATGACCATGTGTATGACATGACAAAAACATATGGAATTGCATTAAAAAATATACAATATAAATTACTATATCACACAATGAAAGGCATTGTACATATCATAACATAGCTTGACATCATATGTACCGACATATCATGATATTATTTTGACGATATAACATGGTATACGTGCCTATAAATGAGTGTATTATATGTGACAAAGTGTGACATTATAAATATGAGAGACAGAATGATATGACATGTTGTGAACAATGTAACACGGCATATTTTATAATAATCTAATACGACAGCGTATGGGGCAACAACCACAGTTTTATGCGTGAGAGCATAAGATCTTACACAGGGGGAAACAAGTGTTGTGAACAATATAACACGGCATATTTTATAATAATCTAATACGACAGTGTATGGGGCAACAACCACAGTTTTATGCGTGAGAGCATAAGATTTTACACAGGGGGGAAACAAGCGTTGCATTATTGTAGTAGCGGACTATGTATGACATTACGTTGTAAAATAATTGCATAGCATATGTGACAGTAAAACGATGTATCACAGTTGACAACGATCACTGCATAAAATAAAGAACACAAAAAACTCGTGTTAAATACAACATAACATGTGTTATATGGAACACAAATCTGGTCTTAAAGTTAATAAAAAGCAGAACATATATATATGTTACTGTTACAATGTCTTCGAGTTGAGATTATAAATTCTGCATACATATTATAATATGGGGGAGTGCGTGGGTTGACTCTGTGGTAGATCTAGGCATTTCGAAGCTGAGTTAAAATCCATGCGATACCCCAAAATATATTCCCCGCACTTTAAGCTGTGCGTGAGTTATAAGAGTGATAGTTATTATTTTTTTTTGCATGGATTTTAGGTGGTATAGGCGTTTCAAACTGGCTTCCTTCTATCTCTGGCCAGTGATTAAAAATTAGGGTCGGCGGCAGATAACCTTAGTAGCTTTGCCATAAATATAAAAAAAAATGGAATACAAATACATAATGATATTTGTAAATTAAAGCATTTCGTAACACAAATTACAAATAAAACACTTCATAAAACAATATTAGAAAAATTATATCAGGCGAAGAACAGGTTGTTTCCATCATTGCTACTTTTGAAAGTTTGAAAGCGGAATTCGTCATGAAAATTTAACTTAATAACACAATAATGTATTCAAATAAAAAACAATTTTGAATTGAAACTTGTTTTGTTAAAAAACAACTTGTGTGCTTATCTCGCTACAACAACAATTTTGAATTGAAAATTGTATTGCGAAAAACAACAACTAAAATTTTTATTGCATATATATAACAGGGGGAAACATGTTATATATGAAAAGCATATATAAATGCTCGTATGACATTAACAACTATTTAATGAATACTTAATTGTATTGTTAAAAACAACAACAACTTGTGTGCTTATCTCGCTAGAATAAGAATTTTGAATTGAAAATTGTATTGTTAAAAACAACAATAACATGTTTGTTTATCTCGCTACAACAAGCTTGTGCTTGGAGAACACAATTATGTTATTCTGAAATAACAATGTTTGTATTAAAATACAAAACTACCTTTTTTTTTCTTTCACAGTGTGTCACATTTCGAACTACGTACATATATCAATTTACACTAATATCGCTTTAGTTACAGATATTGCCTAGAAGATATTTAGAAGAAATGAAGAGCACAAAAGTAGATAAATTACAGCTAAATAAACTCTGCTACTCGGCTAGCTTTGGTTTATGATCCGTAGTGCTGTTAACGAAACCAGATAATCCATCTAGGTTGAAACCTTTAGTCACGTCACAGTTAAACAAGTGTGAAAAATCAACAAGATTCTTTCGTTGGTGATTCTTTGTTGTTGCTTTATGCTGTCACCTGTTAGGGTTCTTGTATTTGTATAAATGCTATATGCACTAGCTGTCACTAATTTTCAAATGATTTACCAAAGGGAAGGCAATTAGCCAAGAGTACTCACCGTCACCTCTCGGGCTGCTATAATCGAACAATGGAATTTGAAGGTCACTATTATAACGCACTTACGGTCCCAAACTGAGGAGCGCGATTTTTGTAACAAAGGAACAAGAATACAATACGTAAAACAGGCAGTTCTTGCGCAAAAGTTTTAAATAAAATTGATAAAATGAGACATCGTCGTTTTTTACTAGCACAATATTTTATTTGTAAAGTTTAAAAAATATAAGTTAAAAAAAACAACTTTAAAAACTCTACATGTTTCGGTGGAAATAATGCCACCATCTTCAGGAGAATAAAACACGAAATTTCTTATAAACCTATGTACGTGTATAATTAGCATGCTTTTACAGTGGCGCCATTTACAAGAACGATTTCCAAAAATTTACTTCCATGGCTCCTGGGCCTAAATCTCTATTTATATTTAAGAATAAGTAGCCCTTGAACTTAAAGTTCAGTTCACTAACTAGTGGGCCGCACCTGGTTTCTTTAAATGTAAACGTTTATGGCTTTCCCAAATATTTTTTTTTCAAGATTACATTTAGTGCTACCTATAATAAGACACTGCAAAGTAGTCGATTGTTTTATAGAGGATATACACGTTTAGTTTAATTTATTGTATTTATTATCTAAATGGTTGTTAGAAGATATTGTAAAGTCTCTTGTTTTTTAGTAGTGCTAAGCCAAATATTCAATGTAAAATAACGTTGTTTGAATAGAAAATATACATGATCTTGTTGTTGTTCTTTTTAGCATAAAGCTATACAATGAGCTATTTGTGCTTTCTCTGTACACCAGATTTTAACGTTGAAAGTCCGGAAACTAATCCTGACTCCCTCCGGCGACTGAACCCCAAAGTTTATTCTATAAGGTGTAATTTTGAAAAGGGGTAAAATGTTTCATGTTTATAAAATGTATGAAATTTCATAAAATTTACATAACGACATATTACGAAATGTATATGTGTGTCAAGCTTGTTAAGTATTTACTACACATTTCTTAAATATAAATTTACTAGCTTGGTGCACCTATATATATATATATATATATATAGCCATATATTTTTGTTAAACGTACCTGTAGCCCAGAATCTCCTTTTTCACCCTTTATACCCTAACATACACAAAAAACATTCAAGAATTATCCTTCTAATAGTTGACTTATGTAATGTCATTAAAATAAATAAGAGATTAATACGAAAAATGACCACAAAATATTATTATTATATATTCTTATAAACAAATTTACACATTTATATGCACACACACATGTGTGTGTGTGTCTAGAGCATTTTATTAAACTTATATACATAGAGCAAAATGCGAGCTATAGCTTAGCTAAGGAAATATAGATATACCATAAAACATGTAATATAAAGAAGAGGTAGTTTAAATTATATGAACTATAACAGGAAGATGTGAAAAATAAAATCTGGTAGAGATCAACAACAGGAGGTTGGAATTTCATCTATATGAACAGTTGTTTGTTATTGAAACTTGGCTGCTACAATAAGAACCAATGTGAAAGACAACGACAAATTTAGATTTTCTTATCCCCCTGATCCTACTTTCTTGTCAACTTTTTGATTACCTTTAAATACACAGCTAAATAGATTTCTAAGGACTTATTAAAACAGAAAGTAATATTTGTTTGGTATAATCATATGATAACTACAACATCTTTATCGACGAGCTACATATACTTGTATGTTAATGTGTGTTGGTATAAAGGCACTTCAGCTGATAGCTTGTAATAGGGACAACGTGTTTCACAATAAAATAATGTTTTCTGGGTTATGTTTTAATGATCTGAAATAATGTTACTGAAAAGGTAATGTCAATTAAAAGAAATGGACATTCATGCAGTTCCAATAAACTACACATAAAGCAGCTCATCTCATGCATATGAGATAAAAAAAAATGTCATACAAGTCAAATTTTGGAGCCTGGATAGCATGAAGTAGCCACAATAGTTTTAGAAGTTAAAATTAAACGATGCATAATTACCGGTATGCCAGGGATGCCATCAGTCCCCTAATGAAAATAAATGTGAAGGAAGAGAGATCAGAAACACTTACTTCACAGATTGTCAGTTAAAATAAATAAAATAAAGAAGTAGCACACGTGAAGTAGACTTGAGAATTTTGTTATCTCTATTTATCTGATTTAATCAGATGAAAAGTAAAAATATTTTAACAGTTTTGGCAAGGTTTCAAAATATTTGAAAAAAAATTACAGATAGAAAATTGCTCCAAATTATTTAATATCAATAGTACTAACAATAAAAGAAGCCAAAGCTTAAAAATTCTTTAAAAATCCGTTACTATTTAATAAGAAAATATCTAATGATTTCATTGTAGATGTTGTTTTGCTTTCAGTAATAATTCTTGAAATAGAAACTACTCTTAATAAATTACAATTTTTCTTAGTAATGAACAAAATCCTAGATAAATTGTTGAAATGCATTTGTTTATATTGAGGGAAAAACTGTTAAAATGTCAAGTAGCTTCAACATACCGGCAGCCCTGGTTCACCTTTTACACCCTTCTCCCCTCGTTCCCCTTGCTCACCCTGGGTTAGAAATAATGATGATGTGTGCATGAGACAAGAGGTAAGAATTACATTTTATATTTAATGAACTTTTACTGTAAATTGGCATGTTTTAAATAAATGATGTATGGTTTTCAACAGCTTTTAATTTCAGTATAGAAGAAACATGTCAACGAAAAATGGTTTTTCAGCCATCAGGTACAACATTGTATACATTCATACACTAATAATTTACATTTACAAAGGGTCAAGTCTAGATGACGTAGAGGTTTTAACAAATTCAGAAGTTTTGTCGCACGAACCTGACCTTTCTAGTTACGTGTACAATATTTTTGTTTGTCTTTTTTTTTAGTTACTATAAGGTGGCTTTCTCCTTACCTTCATGCCATCACGCCCTGGAAGTCCCTGGAGTAGAGACAAGAAATAACAGAAGTTACTGAAATCCTACACTGAAACTCATATAACACAAAGAGCTGACAAAGAAGAAACATTCACAAGCAGGTAAATGCATGCGTGATAATATGACAGAAACCAAGTTATGTAAGTAGCAGGTGATGCTTACTGACAAAATAAAGTGTATGACAAGAAGACAGGTGAAAAAATGTTGTGTAATGAAAAAACAAAACATTGTTTCTATTTAGTGAAAGTTGTTCCCACCACCAACTTAATTTGTTTCGCAAATATAGAGAATAATAATCTTTATGATAATATTATTGTTATAAGAAGTTGCTACTTTTCATAAGATTAATAGATAAAAGTTCCCAACTATTGCTTCTATTATGAGATCTGGATAGAAGATTGTTCCAAGTTTCCCAGGTGTCAGTCCCATTAGGAAAAACCTGAAAAACCACAAGAAACAAATAAGACAACATAGCGTTCAAAATAATAGATCCGTCAAGCTTTGCATAGAAGGATAATTAAAGCATACAAAGACAAAATGTCAATAAGCTCATATGATATAATTACTTCCAAAACGCGTTAAACATCAGTCAATGGACATTTATTTTCCAAATTTTGATTACCCAAAACACTCTTATGATATATTCAAAGAGCATATATCTCAGTTATACGATATTACT